AGCTTGATGTTGCTAAATCAGGTTCTATTCAAGTCTTCTTCGTGGAATATTTGGGGTTGTAGTTATTGGATACGGAAGGCACCTAGGTGGACATGAAATCAAGCATGAGTTTCGCCACGAGTGATTCTCGCCGCTCGATCATTTGAATGTGCGGCGAATGAATTGTAGGATGGATAAGCAGAAAAGGCATAGTTATTTGCAATTTTACGGCACGTTGGTAATGCCACCAGTGTTTCATGAACAAAGAGCCATTTACGTGAACATTAGTTAATCAACTGGGGGGCACTTTCTTCAACATCATCGAGTTTGAAGCCGGCGTAGTCTACCACTATATTAGGGACACTATGTGCGTGCTGATTTGACCGATGAGCGTTATTCAACGCAAGAGCTGTCAAAACTGCCAAGCCATAGCCACGGTATTCTAACGGGATGCTGTACACCCACGTCATGGGAAGTTAAGGGAGGGGGAGATGATGATGCCTTTTTTGTGGAAATCAATAGGAATAAGGGAGGAATAGGTTTGAATAATTATATAATGCATGACAGGGTGTGGCCGGTGAATTATCCGCGGGGGTGAGCTAGCACGTTTGCCTGGCTTTGAAGACCAGCCCTATAAATGTGTCAAAATACGTTACCCCTGGTAAGTAAAAGCTGTAAAGATGCTGCACCCTTCATCCTAGTTTTCTTTTGTTCTATCTTCCTTCCATGTCTGTTTTCTGCCACCTACCAAGCTTCCCGCGTGGTAAGGTTCTGTTGCTGCGTGGAGATGAGTAAACCAACTGCCTCTGGCATGATATAGCAGACAAGAATTAATCAGTCCCAGGGATCAGGGATAAATCAGTTCTTACGCAAATTTTATGGCCAGGTGTTGCCAACAAGGCCATTCCACGCTTTAGCCTTGGCAAACCTAAGTACCCAACTGGCGTAACTCTGACCCTCGTCAATGCCAACCACTTTTGCAGGAAGCATCGATATTGAAGCACTTATATAAGACTTTATCTTACTCCGACCGCTTTTAAACAGTGGTCGCAATACTATATCTAGCATGCGGGTCTTGGCATCATAGAACATCACTCGAACGCCAAGAAGCCTCGCGCGCGCTACATGTCTGCAGGTATGTATTTAATGCCTACCCTGACAAATATAACTTTGGTTTCGCATCTAGTAAATCTGAAGCTACATGTGTCTATGCATACATGTAGTCAAAGCCAGGAGGTCCAAGTGTCTAAGATTCTAGGACACAATACAGAAAAAGCCACATGTCCTTTATCCTCTCCTCATTCTCTTTTCTTCCAATTGCCCAACCTGATCATGCGATAGAAATCTTAAGGATTTCGGTATACTATCAATTTCCAGCCCCATATATCCATGTCTAACATCACATATTGGGAGAGGACTACATGTAGTATGATATGAATCATGAAATGTCACTCGGCATAAAGACATATGCTTACATGTATGGACCCTGTTTGACTATTTAAGAGTTGTAGTAGAGTACGAAGCATACAAGAGACGAGCTGAGTGACGTAGTCTGTAGCTAGGACCTCGAGTGTTCTCTTCCCGTTGCGGCGTTTGATTCTCAATGTATGTCCATGTATCGCTGTTTATAGGCAGTCACTTCACAAACAGCCTCCTTTGTTCATGTAGCTACATGTACATGTAGATGACTACATATGTACTTTGTACGTTTTATCCATTTTTTGACACTATTTTTAAATCATCTCTGTCTACATGTAGCTTTGTTTCAAGTAATTACATAAACCTGCATTGATTGTTGCTAATGGTAGATTTACATGTAAATAAATCTTATGAATTTTTTTTGTATATGGGATTAGTGAACTTAAGAAATGATAGGATTCAACTGGGCTCTTTACAATAGAGATTTTTTATCCATTTATGTATCTAATCTCCCTTGACCAGACTAAATACATGTACATGTATGGAGAGGTTTTGTAATTCACAAGCACATGTAAGTTTCTTGTCAGATATTATTCAGCTGCCTGTACCAAATTTCATAGGGCGCTGGCGCGTAAGTTACAGTCCCGAGCCGTATATCTACAATCACACCATACTGAAATAGACATTCCGGATAGCCCTAGAAAAGGGACCGTTACCTGCCCAGTTTATATGGCAGTGACTGGTTAAATGTTTGATTAGGGCTATTGCCCACCGGCACACTGTCTCCCAATCTAACGGCACACAGAAGTTGAACCTTTACTTCTCTAGAGACCTGTAACTTCCTACCATCGAATCATCAAATTATCCAACCATTCAATCGTCTAACCCGTGTCTAACCCTCAAACCTAAAACAAAACCCTATCATGTCTAATTCTACTGAATTCAAGTCCCTCCCGGGGGATATTCTAATTCACATCTTTCTCGTTCTACTAAATTATTCTGACCTGGCCAGTTTGGCCTTGACCTCAAAAAATTTATATCATCTGTTTAAAAGTTACGAGTCGTCAATCCTGACCCAAATCACTATCAACATCGTTGATATGCCCTCTTGGCAATATATCAAGAAGATTCTTATCTACCAGCGAGCAGGAGAAAACATCCTTTCCCATAGGGATGCAATCAAGCACAATCTAAGGACGAAGCTAGTGCTTACTCCCAGCGATTCGAAACTAGTCATGCGTAATTTGAGATATTACGAAAGTTGCAAAAAGACAATCAAAGCTGCTATTTGCAGGCGCCTTTCAGCCGTCTACTTTGCTGCTACTAAGCATATACACCGAAATAAGGAAACCGCCCGAAAGTATGATTGTGACGGCACTTTACCGATGGACGACTTCTATCGGGCCTTTTTATGGTCGTATGAATTCAGTTTCGACACGATACAGGGATTTGCGGAGCGCCCCGAACTCGAGCTAGCAATCCGGGCTAATTTGTGCATGATCCTACAAGTCATGGGGTTGGATGAAGTTTATAAGAGAGGATTTGGGGAAACACGCGATCTAAGTATTTGGCCAGGGCCGTCGGGGCAAACATGACCAACGCAGCCAAAGGGATGAAGGAGACCCTTGTCGAATCTGAAATCAAGAACCCATTGCTGTTAGCCAAGATCAACAGACATTATTCGTTCAATCCCAGATATTCCGACAATGAAGAGCGCCTAGCTCTTCACTTGGCAGAGATTCGGAAGCAATATATCGCTTATAGCAAGTCAGGAGTTGGTATGGACGCTTTTCTCGAAAAGTGTCAGATGGAGATAATTCCTTTCAATCCGGCATGATTGGGATATAAGAGGTTTATCTGGGCCGAGATGCTGCTTTGGGAACTGGGTTTCTTCGACTTTCTGTACTAGGAAAGTGCCTCTGTAGTAAGTCCCCCTCCTTTCCTCCAGAAATATATCGATGGCTTCTAATTGAATTTTCTATTTCACAGGTATCTATCAGTGACTGGCCACGTCACATCTTTTCTTTCTTCTCCACAGGCCTAGGGACAGACCTGTTATTAAACTTCTAGTGGTTCCCCAGTTTTAATAGGAATATGTTTTTTCAGATGGCTGCCTCGGGTTTCTTTCTGTTTCTCTCGTTTTTCTTGTTCGCTTGATACAAAGGTTTCTTTTCTCGGATAGTTACTTAGTTATGGGGGCATATAGCACATGTGGATGTGCACACTCTTTTCTCTTTTCAGGTAGATTTTTTCTTTGTCAAATCAGGCGGGATAATGGAGCATATACTGTGGGCATTTTATTTTTATGAAATTCGGGCTTCTTTTTGCGGACTTTGCGGTACCGGTGATGGAGCGATCTTTTAAACTGTCGGATTTTATTTTCTGTTCGGCGCTGATCATGAGTCGTACCTAGCTATGAATAATACTCAAATGAGTACTTGTATTTGCATACACTCGCATTCAGTCGAGTCTCTTCTAAATGAAATTGGAATACAATGTTAGGCCTCTTTCAACCGGGTAGCTACGGCAACAGTAACTTAGTATTGAATACTGGGGGGAGTGATAATTGAGGCAGCCTTTTACATTCCTACTGATAATAATGAAGAATTGGGACCTAAAAGGGTTTTTAGTACTTGAGCCGTCTATCGTGGAAAAACTTAGGACTTAGAATGAACTCCTTAAATAATGAACCACCTATGAATCTCATTATATTCTATGGTTTTAAGTGAAAGGACATAGGTACAATCCCGAGACCAATTGAGAGCCCGCGACCTCTCTGTGGTGCGTCTTTAGGTTGGGCCTTGGATTCGGAGGAGCGCCGTGCATACGAAGCGGTCTTCATTCCAGTGTTAAGGTTTTTAGGCCCTGATGAAGTTGAACGCCCACCATAAACGGCTCGGGACTTCTCGTTAGTACTGCTAGAAAGGATAGACCTAGTAGACTCAGAAACTGTACTATACAGTTCGATTTTGTGCAAAACCCTCTATTACTTTCTGTCATTGGTTTCGTGCATCTGGCCACAGTTTACGGGACATGAGTTGTTCCGGGTCGAACTTCGTGAGCTGCAGATCTACTTGAGACTATTGAGGTAGGTGTCAATGATAACTGCATTAACTAAGTCAGTGATATTAGCCGGCGTAGACTAGTACTATCAACGAGGTAACCATTGTAAATTGAAAATATCTACCTTGCCTTAACTTTGCGACGCTCGTTTCCCTCTCCAATGGATAGTTTAGTAGTTTTGTTTCCCAAGGCTCTCCCATCGCCCCCGAAAGAGCTCCAAACAGTCATTGGCCCCAAGCCTGTCACTCACTGACTAAACAAATCGCGGTCAACAGATAACTGCTAGCTTCTCCGGATGGCATCTCCCGAGCAACACAGCGACACGTTACTACCCAACGCGTCCAGGGTCCAGCTCAATAAAGCGCCTTGGCGCATCCCAACCAAAATTTGTGGGCGGGGCCCCTTTCTTCGCGTTTTTCTCTCCATCTTCTTAAGGGTCCGCCCAGTACCCTTCTCTTCTCTTTCCGACCCCCATCTGCCCGCTCGCCATTTGGCAAAACTAATCAATAAACCGCATACCCGCAATAACGGCCGTCGCGATGCGTTTCATCATTGCCTTCCTTCCGCTCATGTTCTTTGCGTTCAGAACACTGGATGCGATGATCTCGAAGTTCTACATCTTCGACCCCGTCAAGCTTCAGGAGCTGTCCCAGAACTCAATTGCAAAGTACGGAGGTCCGGGCGGCAACACAACATTGCTGCTTGAGGACCTTGTGGAGGGTCTGCGTGGGGAGTATGGTGATAAGTACGTCAACAAGCTTAGTAAGGAGGAGTGGTTTTTCAAGTAAGTCTATCTAGTGTTCCAGCTCCGTTTCCCCATGACCATGGTTTTTGACTCCTCCTGCAGCAATGCTGGTGGTGCAATGGGCGCTATGATCATCCTCCATGCGTCAATCACAGAGTACCTGATCATCTTTGGCACACCATTGGGAACTGAGGGTCATTCGGGGGTACACCTCGCGCACGACTACTTCACCATCTTGTCAGGGGAGCAGCAGTTCGTGAAGCCCGGTGAGATCGAGCCGACTGTCTACTCCCCCGGCATGCAGAACCATCTTCCCCGTGGAGATGCTGGACAGTACATCCTCAAAGGCTGGGCATTGGAGCTTGCGCAAGGTTAGTAATAGTATTCGCAGACCCCCAATCTTGGTGGAAGAGGGACTAACTGTGTATGTGTATGGATAGGTTGGATCCCGTCTATGCTGCCATTTGGATTCTTGGACACCTTCACATCTACTCTGGACTTTGCGAACATTTGGAAGACTACCTACCTCACTGGGAAGGGAATTATTGGACAGTTGATGATCGGAAAGATCTAAAGGTCCAGCAGGGTTTTGGGCATTTCAACAGCTTTTTAGCTATATAGAGGCGTTTAATGTGTAAATGCACACACCTTAATAGAGTTAATACCACTTCATGTTATATAAATTGGACTTTAAGATCTGATGACGACAAGCCAAGAAAAATTAATGGATAATGTTCGCTCACGATCTTGTTTTGACTTTCGACAAACATTGGATGGCAAGACTGTGTATCCAAATGTTTGATCCACAGGCCGCCTTGATGCGGTATCCTGCGCTGTTTGCGCCTCTTTTATTGTAGAGTATGGGGGTTTGGTATTTCCGTGAGGATGTAAGAGAGCTCGTGATGAAAGATAATTTCGCGGTGCAAAAAAACGTGTCCTCAAGGTCTGACAAAATGTATGCATGATCGTTGATGTATCATGCGCGATCACTCGCACTTTTGGACGAAAGTGTCTTAGCGTCATCTTTTTTTCGACTCATTAATCGTATGCAGTCTTAGCGTCATCTAGGTACTAGGGAATGCTTCTTGGTATTTTTGTAAAACATTCCGGGACATATGACTTAATTGGCTCTTACTATTTATACGTAATTGAAATCCCAGTTCTATGTTACAGAGCATGTGGTATAACATGCCATCCTAAAGGGCCATGTACTATTCTATGATTTTTTAATTACACAAAAGCTTAAGCTTCATGACCCAGCGCCTGTGCAACAGTTTGAATGGGCTGTAGTAGCAGCACTTCTATGGCATACTATCTGTGTATTTGTTCTTCGACCTCAACGCCTGACGTTTGGCCCAATCACGAGAGTCCGACATCCCTCTAATACAAAAGTTAAAGTATCCCATACCATCCTCATAGTATCTATGACTGTCGCAGTAGACGTGTTTATAAGAACCGAAGAAGGCCTCAGCTTACCTTTTCTCCCTTCTCTATACTCAATTCCAACACCCTTCTGGTACTCTACTCAGACTCTTCCAACTACTTATACTCTACCTTTCCCACCTAATTTTCACCAAACAACCTTCATCAAACAGCCCACGATGCCTGCCGTCTTCTTCCCTCTTACCCAGCCACCTGCTATCGCTGCTCCACCAGCTCCGGCTCCCTCAAGGGGTAAAAAGCCACAATGGGGTTATAACTCTGCAGGCACCGGGCCTCCACCCAATACAGTTGCTCAAGTCGCTGAAAAGGAGGAGCCAAAGCCGTCCGGTCGCCCACCAGTTTTCTTCATGAAAGCCCCTAACCCGAACGCGCCTCCTGCGCCGCCCCCAGCTCCCCCAGCTCCTGTGGTTGCGGCATCGCAAAATATCTTCTTCGTGAAGGCTGCTGCCCCGCCAGCCCCACTAGTCACGAAGATGCTCCCCTTTCATGTTCCGCCACCGCCGCCAGGTACTGGTGCGCTCGATGGCGCCGGCTGGGTTGCATTCCAGTCGCCAAATGGAGTTGTGAGTTACCGCCGCCCCAGGAAGAGAAAGACGAAAAGTTCGGGCTGTGAATGTGGATGTGTGGTTTGTTGAGACTAATTGTGGGTGTGCTTTTTCTCTAGTGCTTTTACTTCAAATAATTGCTGATTTCATGATCTGATCCGGTTGAGTAGGCTATTGGGTTTAGCTGTTGCTTTATTTCGCTTTTTCTTTTTCTTTTTTTTTTTTGCTGCTATTGTAGGTCCTAGGACCTTGAGATATTCGGATTGGGGTTTCCTGTTTCTGGTTTTTGTGTATTTCCATGATAGGTGTTGGAGATCCGGGCTTTTTAGTTTGATATGCTGGGTTTCTCTTATGTCTCTGTTTAATTTGTGCAAGTGCAATGGTGCCTGCGAAAGTTGGTATTAGCATAATGATAAGCTTTTATAAACTCATATCCGAGCGAGAGTTCCGAATTTAATTATTATAGGCGCGATGTGATAATAAAGCAGGTCATCATTCGTAATGAGTTCTGGAGCTAGATGAAAATTAATGACAGAAGCATTGACCCCCCATAGTATGTGATCCAATCTGGCATATGGCGCTTGTCCTAAGATCTTTTGCTCGGCTATACCATATCCAAAATGTTCTTCATGTATAAAGTAAAGGCTGTAGAGTCCGCTCCATCGTTTGTTTCTGCTGCATCCATCTGAATCTTAGTGGATTTAATACGACAAGTACCACAGAGCTGGGCTACACACGCCATACCTAGTAGTAGTACCATAGACCCATTATGAGCTCCTTTTTCCAGTATGCCGCGCCGAATGAAGTCTAGAAAAATAGAGAATATACAGCCAACAACTTCGGGACCAAAGAGATAAGTAGACTAGAGTGCATCAGTGTACTTTATGTCTTTATGCAGCCTTAATCAACCTCGTTGGGTCACCACCTGTTCATCATCAATCATTAAGTTAGTAGCAATCGGTAAGTCCTGTAGTAAAAGTGCCAGCTTAGAGAGAGCGCAAACGTTTCTGACGAGAAGATAAAGGATTCCTGGAGAGTGGTTAGTAGGCTAACGAGAGACGATACGAGAGAAATATTGGGGTAGCGACGACGGCGAAGCCAGGGACGAGTCGTGTGGTAGTTACAGGGAAAGGTGACGTTTGCGATCAGCTAGAAGATCTTTGGGGAGACGTACGGGGAGATGTATCGGGTGCCGAGAAAATAAGACTTGATGTGAGGTTGTATGGTTTGTTGCTATTGTAGTGGTCGTCTCGAGAGGAGGGGATGTTGATGAGACAAGGGGCTAGCTAGCGCAGGTTTCCTTTATCATTGACCATCTTAACGGTGTTTAGGTGACGTTTAGGGTGGCCGTAAGAACTTTGTACCCACACTAATCTTTGGATCTTCCTATCTCAACCGACAAAGTTTATTTGATTACTGATTAACTAACTATATTCTAGGTATGGTGCACAGAGATTAGCTCTACTTTCTAAGATAAGGCCCATTGGCGTGAATCTATGAAGTAGGATTCTGTAGAAACAATCGATGTGAGGTCTGGGAGTGATTGGTCTAAACTACCGTTATCGGAATACTAGGGTAGAGTGCTATATATGGCTCCCAAGATTCTGTCCATAGCTAGTCACGATTCTGTCATATTTCTGCTGCAAGAGCCACAGACTTTACGTACCCGAATCATTGTATTTTATTAATTATTCTGCTTCTAGAACCCGGGGCTACGTACACATGTACCTCTGTATATAGAGTTAGTGGCCCTTTTTTTCTTAATCCTTAATACGCGCCCGGTTATATCAACCCCCTTAATAATACACAACTAACCACGGATTGATAGATACATATACGAGACTCGAGTACGGGACGTCCGGGGCATCTAATTATACAAAAACCCAGACCAGCTAGGCTTGGCCAACGGGCCGTGGGAAAATTCAAGACCTTGGTGGGTACGTACGTATTGATGGTCCATCGCGTAACCAATCACGGGAAAGAGCACTTATAACGGCGAGACTTCGTATATATGGTCAATTGGGGTTAATGCCAGATATTCATGGATCATCTACTGGCTAGAGCCCCAATTAATCCGAGCTACATATGTATAGACTAGGTGGGTATAATAGTAGAACAAATTAGCCAAGCGACGCATGTAAACACATAAGACGGGAATATAGCAAAAAGGAAGCTGCACAGCCATTCAACCACCTTTGAATATGTTCGAGTTGTGGCGTTAGTTTGAGGGGAAACAAATGCTGGCAACTGTGTACCTGCATCTTCAAAATCCGTAGTACCTACATGTACTTGTGATGCCGAGAACTAGGTATCAGGTGACTCGATTTTAGTGGGAGATCGTAGCAGAAGAGAAACTGTTGATCGTCGGTTCCCGGCATCGTGACCATTTTTATGGGTGTATTTGTGAAATATCTAGCTAGGCAAGAATGTGCGAAAACAAGGGTAATGCGAAAACAAGGGTACCCAGTCAAGACTCTCTGGTAGGTACTTCTTGATTCTGAACGTCTCACTTTCACAATAATCTTGCCGGGCACTGTATCTTTTAGCTTAGCTTGATTAACAGATTGCCTATTTTTATAATTACCGACTGAGTTTTGGAGTCGGCTGTGGCAACCACAAATAGGACCAATATTAGGATTAAACAAGGCTAAAAAAGGATGTCCGAGGTTTATTGTTGTGAGTTTATACTCATTGAGGGCCTTCCTGATGAGTATGTTCAGGTGAGAATATAATTTCCGAAATACTCCTATAGATAAATGCATAACGATCGTCAAGTGACTGAAGGTGATACCCTCTATGCCCGGCAGTAGAACTTACCCCCACAAGGCAGAGAAGCGCCTCAAACGGCCTCGCAGATCATACTGAATTTATTATTTTCCTAGTTCTTGCTCGGATAATTCTGCTAGAGTGCACAAATCCATGAGTGAAGGCTAGTAGCTTATATCTAAAAAAAAAACCTTAATTTTAATGACTAATATCTCTTAATGGGATTGTCTTGCGCTTAATGAGATGATCGACCATGAAATTGGTAGGCTTGTCTCATATTTTCGGGCGAGAAAATGGGTTTCGGCGATAGAAGATAGGCGATAGGATATAATAAGAAGGCCATGTTTGTGCTAGTGACTTTTGTGGGTGCCACCAATCGAGTGATTGTCTATGATTAACATGTCAGGTGCAAGACCTTAAATACCCGTTGGTAACGATTCTTGGCAGATACGCACAGCCACGCTTATGAGCACATAACCCACTGTCAGAGATGCCGGGCAAATGGTTCAGATCTCATGCAGGGATTAGACAACGTATGTATGCCTTGTTCTCGCCGGAACGGCTTTTACCAGAACAGTTCGGTTGGAAAGCTTATTGGGCATGAATTTGGGGGCCAAAATAACACCCACGTGACCTACACCAAGGGACGTTCAAATTGGCCCCCATTATCACATGACTGGGGTGGGGGCGGTGGAACCATTTCCCTTTACAGGCCAGGAGCCCGGCAGAAGGGTCGGTGAACCAAAGACCGTGTATGGTCCTTGTTGGCGCTTTCGAATGTGGATTCTTTTCAATCCGAGACCCTTCCTTTATGGGTGTGAGTGCTTCTGAATTTTGTTGGTTGAAGGAAAACAGCTTCGGAGAGTTCCCAGAAAAAAGCCGCTGTCCTCGTTTCTGCTTGCAATTCTCACTAGAGTAGAGCCGCTCCCAGTGATGTCGCACCATTCTCGTCGTTCTATTCGAAATCCAGATGTTTCTTAAACGCACATGTCAATCCACAGTCAATTGGGGGTCAATGGGAACATGACCAACAATTAACGAACAGATACTGTTAGCCAATTTAGCCACTCGATTAGCTGAAAGCTTGTAAAACTTGTTCCGTCCTTGATCCTGGTTGAATATAGGGAAGTTATCCAATTCATGTATGCGTCTGGGGTGTGAAGGTCTTTGAGCATATCTGTAGGAATTTGTGTTCTGAACTTTAGAATGTACGTTTTTGTTGTGACGTCACCCCTTACCTCTTCTAATCACTTTTGGTGCGCTGTGAAAGTTTATTTTAACTGGACACGTGCAAAGGTTTGGGGGCTACTCTGAGAGCATGTAGTTAAAGCTTCGTACTCAGGTTGCATGGTTTGCACCACGGCTCTGCGTGTAACTTGTTTTACCATGGCACTTCAACGTTCTGGTATGCAGTTAACCGGATTTCGGCACTGCACTGAGGTTTCTTTAATTGGATTTTAGTTCTGTCGACACCACCAAACGAGTTGATTTTTCTGCTCTTCATATTGAGAATCATTCCCTCTCGTAGGACTTGTATGGAGAGATGCATCTAAGATAAACCGAAAATGAGATATCGATAGCATCACGAAACCACACCCACTTGCATGATGGTGGTTTCCATTATCTTCATCTAGCATCTCGAAATCCACAAACAGAATTGAAAGTACGTACATATTTCTGCGCTCTGGCGAATAGCCATTCGAGATTTAACCTAACAGGATGAATAGTTAAGGGCACTCGCATACCAGAAACAATCCGCGTCAAGTTCATACTCTACGCAATATGCACGACTTAACAACATAGAGATCTCATGGAGATAATTTGCTGAATGGTTGTAGAACAATCTAAAGCACCCCTCTATGGTCAAAACTCAATCGCAAACTTAACCTCACCGGGATCTCGGGTAGCTATACACGGGAACCTCTATCAAGGATGACACCGACCCGGTAAATCACTCGTGATTGTGACAACATGATGAAGCTACATAATGCATAAATTCATTTATGCAAGGCTAAGGCAACCCATGTCTATGTGGGCCGGCTCCCTACGCAAACTGGATATCAAGTTGTCATTATGACACTTCTAAAATGGTAGAATTGGATATTAATACAACCAGTGAGCTCGAGGGTGACATATCCTGAGAATAGGTGTCGCTCACACTTGGGATCAAAATGTTCAGTTCTTGTTGATACCAGCATAAACCAATAAGTTATTTGAAGAATTAATATAACCAAACGAGTTCAGTTTGATTACTCACACCACGACCCCGGTGTTTATGTATATCTCAAAGAGGATTGATCTAAGGGTACATAAAATTAATCAGATCTCTCTGGGTTGACCTGTAGACATACGTATTTACAGGAGAGCAAGATACTCAACCTAGTATATGCACCGCAGTTTTTAACTTGATATCACAATCGAGCAAGCTCTCGGAGCCCTGTGGCCCCTCCATATGTATCTAAGCCACTGCATTGGAATAATATAAATCCCACGTTTACGACATATATGGCCTTGTATTATATTTGGGTCCCACAAAAGTTTTGAAACACACTAGGCCCATAAGTAGTGAAAACTTCCAGTTGACGATTTCCAGAGGAATTGAATCACTGATAGACCGATGGGTAAAATTTAAATAAACTTACCCTTACCCGGTACCGGTCTTGGAAGGAAAAATCAATTCTGATGGGCTCTAGTTGGTCTACTTCGGAGTATGAGAAATCTGTAGAATACTCACTAGACAGGCGTATTGACTGAGCCGACTTTATATATAGATCTATATGAAGTCTTTTGTGCTGGTTATGCATTATTATCCTTACTCTACTCTGCAGACCCCTTATGGGCACATACATGTATGTTGGCGATGGGCTTTGCTTCAGTAGTAAACCCGCTGTCTTAGACAAGTTTCACATTGCGAATCATGACCATTCCTGGTGATTTAACACCTGGAAGTAGAATATTTACGTGGTTTTGTGGGCTGTGGAGCTAAAATCTAAGAACAAGATTGTCAGCTCTAGCTCTGCGAGCTCCCCAAATAATAAGTCAATGGTCAAACGACAGCTTACACCAGACCGTTCCGGAAACTACATGTATTTTGCCTTAGCAAACCTTTGTGCATGTCTAGCTGCAAGACTTCCGGGATGTAGCACATCGTTTAATTTTTATTGGCAAGGGATAATTTGGAGGTTGCTCAGGCATAATTTTTACCGGCACATGTATGTAGTCGCACAGACCATAATAGGACAAGATCGACTCGTGAGGCGCATAGATCGGTTCGGTCATGTGATATCACTCGATGGTGAGATGAGTTACGATTGACCCTTCCCAGCTCGGCTATTGTCAGGCTAACTCTCCCAAGTATTTGGTAGATATCAATCATGCAGCTAGCGCTGCAAGGAAAATTGTTATACACGTACATGTATGAGCACCCACTAACCAGGCCTAGAAGATATTGAATGCAGTTTTGACAACTTGAACTAGTTCAAGGCCGAATACCGCTGTAGTACATACATAGGTGTATATGTGCTAACATGGAATATAATGCGTGTAGTAATATACCTTGTGTACTTACTAAGTATAAGTACATATGGGACATATGGAGAAATCAATTGGCTGCAGCGCAAGGCTTAAGCTATCAAAAGAGGTACCGGAAGTCGATGGCATCAAGTAGACATGTGCGTGGCATACTATCGGCGCGCTCGATGATTTGAACACTCTACTACCATCAGGGAACCTTTGCTCTAATTATGGATATGTAGAACCGTCTCTGGAAGTCCTAAAAAGGGGCGAAAATCGGTTTTCTCGCCTGCCTATTCTTGCACAACATCTAAGCCAAGTCCAATTATTGAGCTTCAAGGTCTCATGATATCATGGCTACGTGAAATGTAAGTAAATTCGTCAAAAACTACAGTTATAAGTACCTACAGTATATATATGTTATACTCTAATAATTACGCCCTTAGTTAGTAGCTAGGGACACATCAATATGACTGTCAAATTTAAACGTCAGTGTATTTTACCCACTCTGTGTATCCAATCGGTAAGAGCTAGAGGGAGCCTCACAACCTTAAACCTTTTTGTGTTGGTGTGTGTGTGTGTGTGTGTTATTTTTGTCCCACGTGTGCACATGTCGTTCTAACGGTCTTCCGCGACTGCAAGACAGAGCCCTATGAAATCGTATCTTCAAGTGCTCTCGGCGTACAAGTGCTTATTATCATACCATGCCGTGTAATTTACGTGAATCTGGTAACGGCCAAGATACAAAAGCCTCCACCGACCATGTACTACCTATTGGCCCCAACCCCTGGTCGCCGAAGGAAAAACCCGCACTTGCCGTAAAACCGTGACCCCATAATCTGATCTGCAATATTTTCTCCAAACAGAAACGGTTTCCAAAGAGATTGCTGTTGTTCCTAGAAGTAAGGGCAGTGTTCTATTCTTCTGTGTATATTAACTAACGTGGGGCTGTGGCTAAGAAGCTCAGAGGCTGATCCGATATCTTGGGTGCATCATGCATGGCTCGCGGAGCCCCATGCATGGAAATGAACCGCTACAGTATGTGTGAAGAAATGGGGATCTTAGCAGCACCTCCGAAGCCTTAAGTGACACCCCCTGAGTAAGCCTACATGATGTATGCAGTATGGTGGGGGATTCATAGCTCTGTCCTTCCCCATGAGTTTACGTTTAAGCTCCAGAGATCCCACCGCATTGCTTTGATTTCGAACATCAAGCCTCAAAGCTTCGTCACTCTCGTTTGAATTTCTTCGATTACAATCTTAAGCGCCTAGCTTGTTTGAACGCCACAATCAACGTGTAACTCTACTATCTAGCTAGGTAAGTCCACCAATTGCGACCTCAAAGGATACGTGTACTGTGATTTACTTGTGCGTGTGCGCATGACACAGACAGGGAAATCTTAGAAATTGATATATCAGCTCTTAACAGCGCTGACTGTCCTGCAGTCCCGAGAGGTTTTCTGCATACTGCCATCAAACTATCGCAATATCAGCAGCCTGCTACAGATGGCGGACCAAAATTTGATTGATCCAAGGCTTCGTGCTGAGAATAGTACTTTTATTTTTCAAAATTCATACTATAGTCCCGGACCTTCAGAACAGCAGGTACTTTCTGTGCGACAAGAAGGGGAATTTTTGCCCAAAGATGAGAATTTTCTCGATTGCAATTTTCAATATGAGGCGATGGCATCACCCGAGTTCGAGACCTCAGCGCCAAGTAGTCCAGGAATGCAAGTCGTCGCCTTGAAATTTAATCATCATACTCCAGCGCATATCTGGCTAACCTCGCATAGATCAATATCAAATCCAGACGATCAATTACAACACCCGTGCCTCAAACCCGAATGCAATAAACTATTTACCCATTTACACAAACTACAACGACACTACCGGGATGCACACGGAAAACCGCAATATGACTGCCCATATCCGGGATGCTCACGGAAGGGTCAAAAGGGATTCGCTAGGAAAGATAATATGACACAACACCACAGGTTGGTTCACAACAAACAACTGGATCCCGGAACGATTCCTAGGAGGAAGAGAGGAGGTTCGAATGTGAGATTGACATTGGATCCCGTTTAGGTACTAGAGAGATATGCTAATATAGGCAGTAGTAGGAACAGCAGTGGTGGAAATGTAGGAATGGTTTTGGGAAATTGAGCACTTGAGTGTATATACGATAGTGCATGCCTCCTTGGTCTGTGGTTATAGAATTTGGCTAGAGACATGAGGTTCCACGGGCTCTATCCGGATTGATCTACTGGTTATCATCAAAGTGATCTTTACCTATGCATGATCATATTTTAGTACACACACTTTCGGGAGTGATCCAGAGATGAAGAACTCCATATATGTCTTTGGGTCTCAGTTGATTAAGCCTTGGGTAGATAGGCTTATGATTAATGACTTAAGTTTTTATGTAAAGTAGATGTAAGAAGAGTTTTAGCATTTAATATCCATTTAATGAACACACATAGATATCCATTGCATTGCAACAAAGTGCTTGAGTATAGTCAATCACGTCTGAACACGCGATCCAAATTACCATAATGGTATTAGGGGGTACCACGGTATTCTTTCTATGGATATAGCCTCAATTAGGTATTTATAGTTGTGGAACGTGGTACTCGAGGACTGTATCTAGTAGCACGGTTATATGTCTTTGAATTTACGGATAACATTAATGTATATTCTAGTGATTTTGATCCCTGGATGTGCATGTAGTAATGCACACTAGCTGATAATTACTCTATGTACATGTAAGCAGTTTCCTTTTTACCCTTTGTGTAAGCGGGTCAGATGTGCGAAATCATGTTTGAGCACGTTCTACGCCCCTGTCTCACTCTTTGGTGTGTGTAATCACTAGATATCACTCGGTCAGGCGACTCACGTGTTTTCCACCGGGGTAAGATTTCTAGGTGGGGGCAGATCCTTTCAGGATGGCTCGCCTCAAGGCTCCAGCATTTAATCTTAGGTAGGATCTTGTTTCAAGTAAGTTACACGTTGTAATAATGGTGTTGCTTTTGTGGTCTGTTGCGAGCGCGCGCTGTATATATCCAGTCTGCTGTTATATTGGATCATTAAATCTCTTAGAACCTCGTTTAGGCTACATGTAAGAAACTTCATAAGATATCTGTGAATACATATATGTAGACAGGCTTAGACTCTAGATAAGGAGAGATAAAGGCCACAATGGCAATGCAAGTGCAAACCGGAAGTCAGCAATAGAAACTTACTCATGTTAGAGGCGTGTTTAGACGAAATTAGACCCCATTTTAGAACTATATGTATCTATTCGGGGTTGAGGGTCTGATCTCTGAATGGTTCGCCGCTGTTTATGTGGTTATCCAGAGTATATGAGGTTTTCAGCTGTAACTTCTCGGGCTCGAAAAAAACAGAGTGAATTTCGTATATATGGGGCCTCATTTTCATATACCTTAGATGTCCAAATCCGCTTTGAGACATCGGTAGAATGATCTAAGGCTTCATGTGATTAAATAGTATGAAAAGCGCATTGATGAACTAGACGTTGTGTGCATAGCCACCAAATCTTCTCCGGCGAACAAAGCCGAACGAATCCCTCTATCAAAAAAAATTGAGTAGTCCAGAATGACAGCTTTGAAATAGGTACTTCAGCCTCGAGACAGAGTAAATGCCCTCTTGGCTTCGTTATTCATGACCGCGATTGACGCTGCATTGACGAATCATTGACTAACTATAGAATGAATTCCGATGTCTAAGGGCCATCAATATCAACGCAGTTAATCCGGGAAAGCGTAGGTGCTAGAGATGCTACCCGAACACACAAATAAATATAGTTCGCCCGATGATCACGAGGTATTGACACTTGAGATGGACCACGGAGTTACCTATGGCGCATTGGTTTCCCGGTAGTCGTGGCTGCTCAATTTGAATTTCACGCTGAGAACTGGAGGGGTTGGGAAACTCTTCAGATGAAAGAGCAAATATACTGGTTCAGTGCTGGTGTTTAAAGGTTTCTTGAGGAATTCCTAAATATAACTGTTTGTAGATTAGTAACTGCCGCAGGCTTCTCTTAGTTAGTCTCTTCTCGATGAATGCATAACCCAAACCTCTCTAGGCTCGAGCTCAGGAATGCATTACTGTACGCGCTCTAGTTTCTAACCCGATCAGAAAACAACTGAACTTTTGGCCTTTCCAAAGCCATTTATATTTGGATAGTACCAAAGGCTATACATAGACGACTTTACGGGGGTGTGGTCAATTCCAAGATTTTGTATGGAAACCAAAAGAGGTAGTCGATCAACTCCCTGCGTATCATACATCACTCCGGCGTATATTTGAGATTGACCGTACCCCCGTGTTGACCGTACCCCCGTGAAAGCGTCTATATGATTTCTTTCGAGAGTGTATATTCGTATGTACCTGCCGGTTGGAAAAGGCCATGACAAAACGTACTGGTAGAAGATAGGGTTAGGGTTATGATATTTGAAAATTAAATTGTGAATGGTAGTGGTAGTGCAAGTGCCGCGGGTAATCTGATCAAAATCCTGAGACTAGGCTTGTATGATCCGGAGGTTTTGCCATGTGGATGAGAAGGCTTATCGATGGTGAAGGTGGGAGGTTTCGATAAAGATCGAGGGGTAGAGCTGGTCCCTGCGCTAGATCCTTGTTCCTGGATAACTGGGCCAGATGATGGATGAGGCTCTGCTCTTATCCCAACTCAGTTACTTATCGCACACGTCAGCAGTAAGTAAAAAGAAAGAATTTGAAAATAAAGTCGTTTAGGAGGTCTGTAAATAAAGTCGAAGAGCGGAATTCGATGTTTTTATATAGTGTTGGTGTTATTGGTATTTGTCTTATTTTCCTGAAAAATGATGTGTTTTTTTTTTTTTTTTGCACAAATTCAGGCTCACAGCGCAACGTCCAAACAGAGCTGCTGCTAACCCCTCCTTAGCCACCCCTCCGCGGGTTGTCATCATCTATCTTCCATCTATCCTCTGCGTACAAGTTAACAACTATCCTTTTACTCTACTTCGCCCAGCTTAATAGTATACACCTGTCCTGGACCAAGCTTGATCTAGCTGACGCACTTTCTTGCTGACCATTTTATCAACATACAACCCCACAAAACTGAGATATCTACGATCAAACTCCCCGATACATTGTAATTATGATCTTCCAGCTTCACTTCTCTGCTATTTACTAACTCTTCGTCCATCGACTATACAGAAGGAACAAACGAATACGCCCCTAATCTAACGACATGGATAAACTTCCTCCTACTCCCCCGAAATCACAGCTCCCATCATCTTCTCCTCTAAATTCATCACCATCTTCACTACCTCCACGTCCTCCTCCGACCCAGATTCGTTCCGTAATCTCAATCTTACCAGCCCTTCCGATGGCACATCATCAGAAGCAAGTGAGGAAATTCGTTGCCCAAGGGATTGGGCGTGGGAGCGGGCTCCAAGGACATTCCAGCCTCCCGCCTAAGCCCGGAATTCCTGGAAAACCTCTTCCCAGGGACACCGGGCCTATTGTGCTTACTGGGGGTAAGGAAACTACAGGCTCTGGGAGTTTTTCATACTCCCACGTGGCAAAGAGGACATACTCATCCACTACAATGACAAAGGCTGAGTCCCCCCCTGCCGCACGCCGCGAACCGGTGATGACCGAACTCGCGCCTGCTTCAAAAGCCAAGGTGGCGACCTCTCCTGTCCATCACCATCAGCCTCCTGTTGCTCCTATAACTCCCCCCGCCGAAGTAATGACTCGGCCCTTTGTCGATCAGATCCCTTCCTTGATAAACTATAGCACGGATGCGAAAGAAGCTGGAATTCAGTCGGGAGACCAGATTCCTTCATCCCAGCAAGCCAAAATGGAGTTGCAATCACAAGACAGCAATGAGCTGGTAGCTCTGAAGACTCGTGCTGATCATGCTTACCCTAACACAATGAGACCGGAGATGGTTTCCCAACCTAATTTCCTATCGTTCCCTCACCCAGCTTTCTATGAGAACATCCAAGAGAATGGTTTCCACCTTAATAAAAATTTAAACACTACAAACGGCAATGAAACACCAATTCAGAATGGCCCACTCTCTGATGGATACCCGCCCTACGCTCTTCCACATCCGCTCCTACCGCACCACCCCCATCCTCACCACATGCCTTTTCACCATCAGGGTTTCATTTCACGTGGCCCTCAAGATCTCTACCAATTTCATAGCAGCATGACCCCTCCAAACACAGGTACAATGTTTGCACCACCCCCTCCTTTCCGACCACATGGTACATTCGATAGTTCAAGTCAAACTTCCGAGAAGGGCGGTAGCACAAATCCCCAAACTCCGTTTACCCCAACCCATTCATTTCCAGTACACATGGACATGCAGCACCAGCACCACATGTCTGTTTTCTCCCCTCCGCCTCATGAACATGTAGTCCACTTCAATAATCCCTCAAATGAGAATCATCCTCAAGAAGACCGGGCTTTCGAAAATGCATTAATTGCATCACAGGAAAACAAAACAAGGCAAACTAGCATAATTGAGAGTAACCCGCTTCTTCGCAACATTTCATTCTTTCCACCCGACAACGATCAGCAATACAACGGTATGCCAACTGGAAACATGATTATGCCTGCTGAACTATCTAACCCTGGTTTTAATATGGGTCGTCATGGCATGATGCACTCAGATGGGAATCAAAACAGGCAGCCGAACGGTTTCGACCCTTCAATGGGACGCCCTCATAAATCTAATTTCGAGGTGCCTGATAAGGGCACTGCCGCAGCTCATAGATTGCAGTCATATTCGTTGGGGTACTATTTATGTGACAGGTTGTCCGATGTGAAACTATCGGTGAATCAAACTAGAGGAGGGAATGATTGGAACGCCGAAGAATTTAACGCGCACTCTTTTATCTTGGGAAGGTCAACAAAATTGGCCCGTCTGATTGAAGATCAGGTCAATAATAACGAAGCAGCCTTGGAAGATTCAAGGGACTCTGGCATGTGGGCTGATCAAACGGAAATGGGGAGGAAGGCGAAAATCACATCGAGCCGAAAGATTACTCTTTTATTGAAAACAAACGATAAATATATCAACCGCGATAGCTTCTTGCTTTCATTACGG